ACACTGCCAAGCCCACATTTGCCTCAAGACCCTGCCATGCACTCTGACCTCAACAGCACCTGTAACCTGCTCAGCAGTGACAATTTCAAGAGCTACATGCTGGCCTTTGGTATTGATTTTGCTACTCATAAGTTAGCCAAGTTGCTGAAGCCACAGAAAGCGATTAAACAAATAGGTATTCTTTTATCATCCACACATACAGCAGCCTAAGAAACTACTTTATTAAATTTAAAAATTGAGAAGAATTTGAAGAAGATAAATAAAGGCCTAGGTAACAGAAGATGCAACAGTTTAGTTATTGGAACAATGACAGACTCATTGGATCCAAGGGGATGACCTCCACCTGGAAATGTTCTGTGACGGCCAAGTGTACAGACTTTCCAGAGAGCCTGATTGGTACCTGATAACAGAGCCCACTTGTGTCTGCAGCTTAATGCTAAATTATATTCCAGGGTGAACAGACGTTAATCCCTCCGGTATTGTGATGGCGCATTGTGGTCTAAAAGATGTCACACAGCCTGTACCAGAAGCCATATGGATTGAGGGGAAAACTGTTCAGCTCCAATAAAACTGCACAAATGACAAAAAAAAAAGAAAAGAAAAGAAAAGAGAGAAAATCGCAGGCATCGGTACACTTTATCCCTAAATACTTCATCATATATATCATTAACTTGAGTCCACTATTTATGGCTCTTTTTGGGGTTGGGGAGGTAAATTTTCCATATAATGAAATGCATAAATCCTATACAATTCAGTGAGTTTTGACAAATGCATATACATGAGTAATCCAAACTCCTGCCAAAATAATGACCCTTACCATCATGCCAGAAATCTCCATTATGTCCTGTCCAATCAATCCCTTTCCTCACTCCTGCTCCATTATTCAGATTTTTTAACTGCATTTTTTAGGTATAATTGACACACAATAAACTACACATATTTAAAGCATGCAGTTTGGTAAGTTTTGATATGTGCATAAACCCATGAAACCATCTCCACAATCAAGATAATGAACATATCCATCAACTCCCAGTTTCCTCATGCCCCTTCATTATCACTTCTTCCCATTCTCTCTCTCTCACCCCCAGCAACCAACTGATCTGACTTCCATCACTATAGATTAGCTTGCAATTTAGAATTTTGTGTAAATGAAATTATATGGTGCATGCTCTTATTAGTTTGGCTTTTTTCACTCAGTATAATTATTTTGAGACTCATCCATATAGTTGCATGTATCAATAATTCATTCCTTTTATTGTTGAGTACTATTCCATTGTACGGATATAGCATTATTTATCTATTTGCCTGTCGTTGGATATTTGAGTTGTTTCCAGTTTTTTACTATTATAAATAAGGCTGCTATGAACTTTCATATACAAGTCTTTGTATAAACATATGCTTTCATTTCTCTTGGGTAAATACCTAGAGATGAATGCTTGGGTCATATGGCAGGTGTATGTTTAACTTTTTAAGAAACAAGCTGTTTTCCAAAGTGGAAATTTTTACATTTTACATTTCCATTAGCAGTATATGAGAGTTCCAGTTCCTCAACATCCTGGCCAATAATTGGTATGGTCAGTTTTTTTTTTTTTTTTTTTTTAATTTTGCCATTCTAATAGGTATGTAGTAAATGGTATCTCATTGAGGCTTTAAGGAAACTAATGATGTTGAGCATCTTTTCATTTAATTTTCCATTTGCATATCTTCTTTGGTGAAGTATCTGTTCAAATCTTTTGCTTATATTTTAAATTGGGTTGTTTCTTACCTATTACTGAGTTTAAAAGTTCTTTATATAGTCTGGATATAAGTCCTTTATTAAATATGTGATTTGCAAATATTTTCTACCCGTCTGCAGCTTGCCTTTTCATTCTTTTAACAGTGTCTTTTGAAGAGCAGAAGTTTTAAATTTTGATGAAGTCTAATTTATCAGTTTTTGCTTTTATGAATTGTGCTTTTTAGGGTCGTATCTACAAAATTTTTGCCTAACTAAGGTCTATCATCTATTTTGAGTTAATTTTTGTATAAGGAGCAAGGAGTGGATTGAAGTTCACTTTTTGTTGCTGTTGTTGAAAAGGCTATCGTTTCTCTGCTTGCACTGCTTTTCTATTTTTGTGGAAAATCAATTGTTCATAAATGTGTGAGTCTATTTCTGAACTCTCTGTTCTCTTTGCTTGATCTTTCATTGATCTGCTTGTCTATTTTCATTCCAGTACCATGTTGTCTTGATTACTATAGTTTTATAATAAATCTCGAAATCAGGAAGTGTTGGTGCTACAACTTTGCTCTTCTTTTTCAAGTTTGTTTTGGCTATTTTAGGGCCTTGCACTTCCAGATGAATTTTGGAATAAACTTGACAATTTCTACACAAAAAAATCTGCTGAGATTGCATTAATCAATTTGGGATATATGAGCAGTATTGAGTTTCCAACCCATGAACTTGACATAGCTCCCCGTTTATTTAGTTCCTCTTTAATTTCTCTCAGCAATGTTTTGTCATTTTTAGTGAAGGGGTCTTGTGCGTCTTCTACTGTATTTATTCATAAGTATTGTATGGTTTTTGAATCTATTGTAACCTTTTCCAGTTGTTTGCCACTAATATATTAAAACAAAACTGATTTGTGTATCTTGACCTTGTTTCCTACCACCTTGCTAAATTCACTTATTTATTCTAATAATGTTTTTTTGGAATTGATTCGACAGGAACGAGTTTGGTTTTTGATTTTTGAGTTGGATTTTCTACATTAACAATGTCATCTGTGAATAGAGATACTTTTGCTTTTTTCTTTTTTATCTTTGTGCTTTTTTTCCTTGCTTTATTCCACTGCCCAGAACCTCCAGTTCAATATTACATATAAGTAATGAGCGTTCACATCTTTGTCGTTTCTGATCTTAGAGGAAAAGCATTCAGTATCTCACCATTATTGATATTAGTTGGATTTAAGTGTACCATTATTGATATTAGTTGGATTTAAGTGCACCATTTTACTATTTGATTTGTTTTATTCATCTATTTTTTGTTTCTTTGTTCCTCCCTTCCCACCTCCTTTTGTGGTTTATTAAATATTTTTTCAGAATTTCACATTAGTTTATCTACTGACTTTTTATGTATACCTCTTTACATTGTATTTCTAGTGGTTGTTCTAGGGATTACAATACACATTCTTTTCATAGTCTACTTAGAAATAATATTGTGCCATTTCACATAAAATGTAAATGTCTTTAAACCATATGGGTCCATTTACCTTCCTATCTTTTATACTATAATTGTCATGCATATTACATTACATGCATTATAAACCCCACAATATGATGCTATAATCTTAGCTTTAAGGAGTCATGTTTATTTTAAAGAAATCAAAAGAAAAAATTAATCTCTTATAGTTAGCCATATATTTACCATTTCTGGTGCTATTCATTGCTTTCTGAAGTTTCATCCGGCATAATTTCTTTCAACCCAAAAACTTATTTTAGAATTTTTTTTTTTTTGCTAGCACAGGTCTGCTGTACTTCCCTGCATTGTCTAATTTTTCTGCCTTGAACATGCCCAAACCAAACCAAATCCATTACCCTTGAGTTGATTCTAACTCACAGCAACCCTACAGGACAGAGAAGAACTGCCTCATAGGGTTTCCAAGGAATGGCTGGTGGATTCAAACTGCTGACCTTTTGGTTAGCAGCAGAGCTCTTAACCACTGCGCCACCAGGGCTTCATTTAACACGTAGTATTTATATAATAAGTGAGAATCACTCAAAACTTTCTCCATTTTACTTCATAATATATCTGTGTTTGTTTATAAAAGAAAACTCATTTCTCTTCATATTAGTCATTCCATAGATCAGCAGCAGCTCCCTTAGATGGCAGGAAAAGGAAAACATACAAACGTTATTACACACTTTGGTGACCAGAAGGAAAATATTGAAAAGTCAGTATTTCTTTTTTTATTGTACCTTAGATGAAGGTTTACAGAGAAAATTAGTTTCTCATTAAACAATACACATATTGTTTTATGACATTGGTTGCCAACCCCACGACGTGTCAACACTCTCCCCTTCTCCACCTTGGGTTCCCCATTACCAGCTTTCCTGTCCCCTTCTGCCTTCTCGTCCTTGCCCCTGAGCTGGTGTGCCCATTTAGTCTCGTTTTGTTTTATGGGCCTGTCTACTCTTTGGCTGAGGAGTGAACCTCGGGAGTGACTTCAGTACTGAGCTAAAAGGGTGTCCGGGGGCCATACTCTAGGGGTTGAAAAGTCAGTATTTCGGTGGTGGATGAGTTTGGATTATTCATGCTCTCCTCTGCTATCAATCCCACTGAAACTTGGCAGCTGAGTAAAGAAGATTCTGGCACTGTGCAGCTGGTGCCCGAGGTTTAGGTTTTTAGGTCTTCCTTCTGAAAGTGAGATTTCGTCATGCATCCAGCGAGCAACATGTGTGAAAAATGTTTGCTGTTAAATGATGTGACCTTTGTTTAGTAGCAGGCAATCCATTGCAATGGCTTAAGATCGTGTAGGCAAGTTCTTTTGCATGAGCTCTGCAACCCCATTCAGGTATCGGTGACTGTCCCACCCCTATTAGAGGTTTCGGAATTCCGAGGCCAATATTTTGAAATTATTCAACTAGCTACTGTGCTTTGGATAAAAATAACTCCTTCACTAACGTGTTGGGAAGAAGAAGCAGAAGCTATAGTTTTAATATTTTCATCTGTATTCCACAATAGGCCCAGAAAGTTTTTTCTCATAACTTTCTCCCGCCAAGAGTTCAAAAAAAGGGCGGCAAAAACTTTCCTCTCTTCTTTTTGCGGGCTGGACGCGACGTGACTGACATAGATTTCTACCAATTGTACGAGGCTTCCTTAAGCATGGTTCCGCCCAATAGGTTTACGAAGGCCCAGCCAATGAGAGTGCCTCTCTTTCACTCATCGGTGACCAATGGAAGAAGAAGAGAGGGTATTGGCTACTGGCTGATGGCTTCTGACCAATAGGAGCAGGCCGGCCCCGCGGCTCAGGCGGGGAGATTAAGCTGCTTTGGGAGTGGCGGTTGGGACCTTTGCGTTCCGACTTCTACCAAAGTAACGACTGCATCTGCGGCGGGCTCGCGACATCGACCGCGTCCTTCCGGCTTCAGGTGAGGTGGGCGTTTGCCTCTCCGCTGACCTGGGGCTTCTGGCTCCTGGATAACTTCCCTGGGCTTGGCCCCTGGCGACGGGGCCTAGAACCGCCCCACGAAGTGGGCTGCTGGCGGGCATGGAACCCGGCGGCCCTAGAAGGTTCGACCACCTTGCGCGGCCCCAACTGTCGGGGCTGAGGCGCCCGAACGCCAGCTCTTTCGGGATTGCTGGGAAGGCACGTGAGATTGGGTGGGGGGCGCGGCGAAGGCTGGAACTTGGGGCGATCCCGGAAGGAGCCGAGTACCCTGCAGCAGGGCCTCAGACTCTTTTATCTACTAATAATGGCTCTCAAGTCACGGAGCAACTTATAAGTTTAAATGTTACCTAATTTTACGTAAAGCAACTGTGATGTAAATACTTTTATTATTCCTATTTTGCAGATGAACAAGTTGAACTGAGAGCTTAGGAAACCTGCTTAAGGGCCCACGGGTAGAAAGCCCCAGAGCACGGATTTGAACAGAGATCCTCTTGCCACCCCTCCGCCTGCTCTTATCTTGCTAATTGGGGGCCTTCACCCTCGCTTGTTGTGGTCATTGACTGAAATCTGAGTCACCGAGCTTCGTAAGCTCTAAGATGATGAGTAGGAGGTTAACGTTTTAAACCTGAACTTGCATGGAACACATAGAACATAGCATTATGTGGCGTTCTGAAGACAAGACTGCCTGAGGCTTGGGGTGACCAGCTCACAGTGTCTTGCTCTAGGCACCCCTGGGTAGTCCAAGGGCTGAAAGGATAAATAGCTCCCCGCCCTGTATTGGGAAGCTGTGCTCCAGAACAGCGATGTTCCATAGAACTTTCTGCGTTGATGGAAATGTTCTATGTCTGCGTTGTTCAGTGTGGTAGCCACTAGACACATGAGCGCTTAAATGTGACTAGTGTGACTAAGGAACTTAATTATTGATTTTATTTAATTCAAATCTAAATTGCCGCATGTGGCTAGTAGTTAACCGTGGTGAATAGTGTGACTCTCTCGACTGCTTTTTTTTGGGAGGCGGGGGAGTGGTCCACTCCTCCCCTTTGTTTTCAAGAAGATTGATTTGCTTTATGTATGTAGGGGTACATCTAGAAATAGCCTGGACCACTTGCCTTGTGTTGTGAAACATACTTCAGGGAGACTGTAGTTGTACCCTAAAAGCACATATTAAAGGCTTTAAGTTAACATCATTCCAGAGAAGTAGTGAAGAATTTATTGGTGAGATTTTGAAAGAGTGTAATTCCTTTCTTGGATAGTGTATTTAAATTGCTAGATTCTTCTGTAGGGCTGTAACTACAGAAGTTTTAGTGATACAGTAAATAGCATCTGGTGTTTTTTAATTTTTTGTTTTGAGCTGTGGTGGATAATTCAATAGGTATTTAGCACCTGCTAACTGGATTGTTGTGTTTTTATATACTTTATGCTATGGAATGATATATAGTGATGAATCAGACCTTGTATTTATAAATCCAGATAGTATGATTTTACCTGTTTTTAAATGTCCTAAAAATGGAATCATAGAGAATTCGTCTGCAAACTGCTTTTTTTCTATTTGAAATGATTTTCGGTTAGGGTTTTTAGTTGCAAAAAAGAGACAGTTTATGTATGGTTCCAACTTGACCAGAGGTTTTTGTTTATTTTCTTCCCCTCCATTTCCTGAATTCTTTCTGGGACTCTGGTTAATCAGCTACTGGATATCCTGGCTTGATTTTCTAATTTTATTATGCTTTTATGCAGCAGCCTTTTTATTCTACTTTCTGGGAACGTTCCTCAATTTTGTCTTCCAGTCCTTCCATTAACATCTTTTATTTTGGCTGTCATATTTTTTTATTTCCACGAGCTTTTTGTTGTTGTCTGGTTTGTCTTTTTTTTTCCCTAACATTCTCTTGTTGCTTTACAGGTACAGCATCTGTACCCATAAAATCTGTTTGGTTTGTTAATTTGGAATACCCTCCCCCCCACCAAGTTTCTTCTGTTTGTTTACTTTGGTCTCTTTGATGTTGGAGGCTTTCCTCAAATGTGAGTTGATGCTTGGCTGTTTGTTCATTTTTAATGAGAGTTCTCAAAAAAGCTGATTGGAAGCTCTGTATTTGTGGGTGAGGTTTATTAACTGGTGTGCTTTACTGTAAAGTATATGGACAGAGACACACCCATTTTCTTGGATTCACTGCTGTTGGTATTTATAGATTTTTTGTTGGGAGGGGAACTGGTCTGTTTCTCTAAAAACAATGTTTATTTTTTTAGTCACGTTCATGGGAGAGAGAGGGATAAATGTGCTTCATCCATTACATTTACCGAAATTCCTCTACTCCACCCATTCCAGTCTGGTCTTTGACCCCATCACTTCAGAGAAACTGCTCTTTTCTAGGTTATTTATTATCTTCATATTGCTAAATCTAGGGCCATTCTTTGTTTTAACTTAGTTTAATTTTATTGTTGTACTTTAAGTGAAAGTTTACACTTCAAGTTAGTCTCATACAAAAATGTATATGCACTTTGTTGCGTGACCCTAATTGCTCTCTCTATACTGTGACAGCACTGTCCTCCTTTACTCCTGATTTCCTGTGTCCATTCAACCAGCTTCTGACCCTCTCTGCCTTCTCATCTCATCTCTGGACAGGAGCTGCTCTAGGGCCATTCTTCCCCTCAGTAGCACTTAACATACTTTACCATTCCCTTCTTGAAACATTATCTTCCCAGACGCCACACTCCCAGGTTTCCTCCTACTTCATCCACAATGAGTCTTTCTAAATGGCTTCTCTTCCTGTAGCTATTGTCCTTTTAATGTTAGTGTCTCCAGTTTTAGTCCTACTCTCTTTTCTGTCTCTGTCTCTTGGTAGGTGGTATAGTATACTCCTAAAATTTTAAGTAACATAATTGCTAAGGATTCTTAAAGCTATTTACTTTTCTTTCTTTCTTTTTTTTATTGTTTTGCTTTAAGTGAAAGCTTACAATTCAAGTTAGTCTCGCATACAAAAATTTATATGCACTTTGTTACGTGACCCTAGTCTCTCTCCCTATACTGTGACAGCACACTCCTCCTTTCTACCCCGGATTTCCCATGTCCATTCAACCAGCTCCTGACCCTCTCTGCCTTTTCATCTTACCTCCGGACAGGAGCTGAGAAGCACACTCTTCACGAGTATCATTTTATGTCCCATAGTCCAGTCTAATCTTTGTCTGAAGAGTTGGCCTCAGGAATGGTTTTAGTTTTGAGCTAACAGAGAGTCTGGGGGCCATGTCTTCCGGGGTCCCTCCAGTCTCAGTCAAACCGTTAAGTCTGGTCTTTTTACTAGAATTTGAGTTCTGCAGCCCACTTTTCTCCTGCTCTGTCAGGGACTCTGTTGTGTTCCTTGTTAGGGTGGTCATTGGTGGTAGCCAGGCACCATCTAGTTCTTCTGGTCTCAGGCTGATGAAGTCTCTGGTATATGTGGCCTTTTCTGTCTCTTGGGCTAATACTTTCCTTGTGTCTTTGGTGTTCTTCATTCTCCTTTACTCCAGGTGGGTTGGGGCTAATTGATGCATCTTAGATGGCTGCTCACTAGCTTTTAAGACCCCAGACGCCACTCACCAGATAGGATGCAGAACATTTTCTTAAACTTTGTTATGCCAGTTGACCTAGATGTCCCCTGAAAGCATGGTCCCCAGACCCCTGACCCTGCTACCCTGTCCCTTGAAGTGTTTGGTTGTATTCAGGAAACTTCTTAGCTTTTGATTTAGTCCGGTTGTGATGACTTCCGCTGTAGTGTGTGTTGTCCTTCCCTTCACCTAGGATAATTTTTGTCTACTATCTAGTTAGTGAATACCACCTCCCTCTTCCCCACTCTCCTAACCATCAAAGAATGTTTTCTTCTGTATTTAAACCTTTCCTTGAGAGTTCTTATAATAGTGGTCTTATACAATACTTGTCATTTTGCGACTGACTAAATTCACTCAACATAATGCCTTCCAGATTCCTCCACGTTACGTTTCACGGATTCATCCTTGTTCTTTATCGTTGCATAGTATTCCATTGTGTGAATGTACCATAATTTGTTTATCTGTTAATCCGTTGATGGGCACCTCGGTTGTTCCATCTTTTTGCTATCATGAACAGTGCTGCAATGAAAGTGAGTGTGTATGTATCTATTCGTGTGACAGCTCTTATTTCTCTAGGATATATTCCAAGGAGCAGGATTGCTGGATCGTATGGTACTTCTATTTGTAGCTTTTTAAGGAAGTGCCAAATCGATTTCCAAAGTGGTTGTACCATTTTACATTCCCACCAACAGTGTATAAGTGTTCCAGTTTCTCCACAGCCTCTCCAACATTTATGATTTTGTGGTTTTTGGATTAATGCTAGCCTTGTTGGGGTGAGATGGTACCTCACTGTAGTTTTAATTTGCATTTCTCTAATGGCTAATGATCATGAGCATTTCCTCATGTGTCTGTTAGCCGCCTGAATGTCTTCTTTGGCAAAGTGCCTGTTCATATCCTTTGCCCATTTTTTAATTGGGTTATTTGTCTTTCTGTTGTTGAGGTTTTGCAGTACCTTGTAGGTTGTAGACATTAGATGCTGATCGGATTTGTCATAGCCAAAAATTTTTTCCCAGTCTGTAGGCCGTCTTTTTACCCTTTTGATGAAGTCTTTTGATGAGCATAAGTGTTTGATTTTTAGGAGCTCCCGGTTATCTAGTTTCTCTTCTAGTGTTTGTGCATTGTTACTTATGCTTATTGTTTGTATTCTGTTTATGCCATGTATTAGGGCTCCTAGCGTTGTCCGTATTTTTTCTTTCATGATCTTTATCGTTTTAGATTTTATATTTAGGTCTTTGATCCATTTTGAGTTAGTTTTTGTGAATGGTTGAGGTATGGATCCTATTTCATTTTTTTGCAAATGGGTATCCAGTTATGCCAAAGCTATCTACTTTTCCATCACTGCTGCTGCTACCACTCTTGTCCAAGTCTCTGTGACCACTAGTCTGGACTCCCACAGTAGCCTCCTAACAGGTCACCTTGTTTGCACTCTTACTCCCCTGCAGTCCATTCTTGACACAGAAGAAACTCCTTACCAAAGCTCATGAGACCTTTAATGATAGTGTCCTGCCTCACCAACTTCATCTCATACTGCCTCTTGTTCCTCACTATGCTTGTTAAACTGGTCTGCCTCAGTTTCTCAAATGCACCAAGCTTATACTCACCAAGTATCTGTGCACTGGTTTCTTCCATCTGAAACTTCCCCAGCTCTTCAGTGGCTAGCTTCTTTTAATCCTTCAGAGAGGCCTTCCCTCACTTCTGTATCTAAAGTGGTGTTCTTGCCCCCGCCTCCAAAACCAAACTATCAACAGTCTATAATTTGCTTGTTTATTTGTTTATTGGCTTTCTCCCACTTTCTAGAATATAAACTCAGTTACATAGGGTCTTATCTGTCTGTCTTTGCCTCTGTGGGATGCCTGGCTACATAATAGGCACTTAATAAATCTTTGTCCAGTGAGCCAGTGTAATAGAATAGAGACGGGAAACAAAAATAATGAAAGGCATGGAATAAAGAAAGATTGCTCAGCCATTTTGGAGAAATTAGGTAAATTTCTATTTTAAGTTAGTAAATGAGCTAATTTTGCAAGTGTAAAAATGGCGTCAGTTTTTAACTTTTGGTGATGTGCAAGATGAATATTACTATAATGAAATACAGCATCATATGCATTTGTTTTTTGGAGATTCCAATAGTTCACCACTTTTATTTTGTAGGTCTTTTCTATTTTAGAAGATTTTATGATCACGTGACTTCATACTTTCAAAGGGTGAACTGGAAAAGTAGTTATAAGTGCTTGTTATGGAGCAAAAGTCTATTATTACCAATACTCTTCTCACTCAAATAAGTTAAGTCTTCTCTTTAAGCTTTTCAGCTTTGCCAAGAATGATCTTAAACAGAAATTCTGAAAGACTGTTGCGTTAGGTGCTGTTGAATTGATTCTGACTCATAGTGACCCCATGTGATAGAGTAGAACTGCCCCATAGGGTTTTCTAGGCTGTAGTCTTTATGGGAGCAGATCACCACATCTTTCGTCCGTGGAGCCTGTAGGTGAGTTCAGACTGCCAACCTTTTGGTTAACAGCCAAGCACTAGCCATTGTGCCACTAGGGCTCCTTTTCTTATACTAGATATGATTATATCAGCTACGTGACATGCTTTTAGCTATTTTACTAATACTTTCTGCAAATATTGCTTCCCTAGTGATGGCTCATGAAGCAATGGACTATGATGTGCAGGTACAGTCAGATCATCATGCTGCAGAAGAGCCTCCTCCTGCTGACGTGGTCAGCAGCCAAGCAGGACTGCCTCTGCTCCAGCCTGCGCCGCAGGTGTCCATTGACCTGACAGAGGAAGTGGAGCTCTCGGGAGAAGAGAGTGTGGAGAACATCGATCCAGGAACTTCAGAGGAAGATAGGCGGGGATCTGGTGCTAACCCCACCGTCCACGTGTCTTCACTAGAGTCAGTGAACACCTTCATCAGTGGGCTGCAGAGGCTTCATGGCATGCTGGAATTCCTGAGACCTCCAGCTTCAAACCATAGTGTGGGGCCGGTGAGAGTAAGGAGGAGGAGGGGTTCTGCACCACACAGGGCAAGGCCTGGAGGGTCTCAGAGGACAGACAGTGCCAGGTAAATATATATTGTTGTCGTTAGGTGCCTTTGAGTCGGGCCCTATGTACAGCAGAATGAAACACTGCCCAGTCCTGCGCCATCCTCACAGTCCTGTTGTTGCAGACACTGTGTCAGTCTATCTCATTGAAGGTCTTCCTCTTTTTCGCCGACCCTCTTGCTTACCAAGTATGATATCCTTCTCCAGGAACTGATCCCTCCTGATAACATGTCCAGAGTATGTGAGATGTAGTCTCTCCATCCTTCTAAGGAGTGTTCTGGTTGTACTTCTTGCAAGACAGATTTGTTCTTTCTTTTGGCAGTCCATGGTATATTCGATATTCTTCGCCAACACCACAATTCAAAGGAGTCGATTCAATCTTCCTTATTCATTTTCCAGCTTTCACATGCATATGAGGCGATTGAAAACACCATGACTTGGGTCAGGTGCACCTTAGTCTTCAAGGTGACATTTTTGCTTTTTAACACTTTAAAGAGGTCTTTTGCAGCAGATTTGCCCAGTGCAATGCGTCGTTTGATTTCTTGACTGCCCCTTCCATGGGCTTTGATCGTGGATCCAAGTAAAATGAAATCCTTGACAACTTCCTTCTTTTCTCCGTTCATCATGATGTTGCTTATTGGTCCAGTTGTGAGAATTTTTGTTTTCTTTATTTTGCGGTGTAATCCACATTTTAGGCTGTGGTCTTTGATCTTCATCAGTAAGCGCTTCACTTTCAGCAAGCAAGGCTGTGTCATCTGCATAATGCAGGTTGTTAATGAGTCTTCCGATCCTGATGCCTTGTTCTTCATGTAGTCCAGTTTCTCGGATTATTTGCTCAGCATACAGGTTGAATAAGTATGGTCAAAGCATACAACCCTGACACATACCTTTCCTGACTTTAAACCAACGCAGTATTCCCTTGTTCTAACAACTGCCTCTTGATCTATGAAGAGGTTCTTCATGAGCACAATTAAGTGTTCTGGAATTCCCATTGTTCACAATGTTATCCATAATTTGTTATGATCCACACAGTCAAATGCCTTTGCATAGTTAATAAAACACAGGTAAACATGTTTATCGTATTCTCTGCTTTCAGCCAGGATCCATCTGACATCAGCAGTGATATCCCTCGTTCCACATCCTCTTCTATCCGGCTTGAATTTCTGGCAGTTCCCTGTCGATATACTACTGTAGTTGCTTTTCAGGGATCGTCAGCAAAATTTTACTTGGGTGTGATATTAATGATATTGTTTGATAATTCCCGCATTTGGTTGGATCACCTTTTTTGGGAATAGGCATAAATATGGATCTCTTCCAGTCGGTTGGCCAAGTAGCTGTCGTGCTAATTTCTTGGCATAGACAAGTGAGCACTTCCATCTCTACATCTGTTTGTTGAAAGATCTCAGCTGGTAGTGTCACGCTGGGAATTATGAAAGTTGAGCTCTGGTTATAGTCCTAGTGCCGATTTCCTTCACAGATTATTGAGAGGATATGCTACACTGATATGTTTTGAAAACTAGGAAGGCAGACCTTTTGGAGGTGATGTTTTGTTGGCAGCAGTTTCTGTAGAGGTTGGCTCCTTAGATCACGTGTACCATCTACACCAGAAAGTATTTCTTAGTTTATAAGTCCCCCCACAGTCACCCAAGATCCATTGTTCACTACACATCATTTGGTAGCGCTGTAGACTCTGCAAGTTGGGCAGGCTAGGTTTAGAGAAGCCTTGTGAAAAGTAGAATGTGAATTCATTCAGTGTTTATGTGACTACCCTCCCTTTTCAACCCCTCAAAGACAAATTGCTGAGTCGTGTTCTGTAAAAGATAGTGACACATGATCAAAAGCCAGTAAATTAGAATTAGCTCTTAGCAGAAGGACCAAGCTCCAGTGTGGGATAATGAAATCATGATTAAGTGGAAAAGAGAAAATCTAGGCCTGAACCTGCTATTTCTGCTTCACCTTTCAAAGGCAGCATTGAGCAGCCTGGAAATTGATATGACTAGGATTAACCTTCGTATTACTGTGGGTTATTCTTAAGATGATGGTCTGTTGTACTCTGATTCTTTTGTTTTTCTGGATGCATAGATCAAGAGCATCTTTGGATGCTTTCTTTCAAGTGAGCAGGACCCAGCCTCACTTGTCAGCTGACCCTTATCCAGAAACTAGGAATCCTGTCTCTGAAGACTTGCAAGTGTCAAGTAGTTCCAATTCTGACAGTGACAGCTCTGCAGAGGATGAAGAGGAACCTGGAGCTGTTATTTTGGAAGGTATTTTATCCAGGTTTGGCGTAAGACTAATATCTAGACAGCTAGAAACTCTAATTTGTGCTTTGATATTTTCCTTTTTCTCCCACAAATGTTATAGTTTCCTGTTTTATAGTGTAGAGCTTTTCCTAACCATAGTTGTGTAGAAAGAATTTGATCTGACTCATACTTTGGTATTATCTTTTAAAACTCAATATACGTATAACCTGTTACCCAGCAATTCCACTTCTGGGTATGTAGCCAATTAAATGAGTATATGTGTTCACCAAAGACATGAATAAGAATATATCAGCACTGTTTGTAATAGCAAAAAAACTGAAAACTATCGAAATACCCATCAATAATAGAATAGATAAGTAATTGTGGTATATTCACACAATGAAATACTGTACATCAATGAGAATGAATGGCCTACAGCTCCACACATTAGTATGGAAGAACCTGAAAAACATAATGTAAAGCAAAAGTAAAACTTACTGCTGTCAAGTCGATTCTGACTCATAGCGACCGTACAGACAGAGTAGAACCGCCCCATAGGATTTCCAAGGCTGTAATCTTTATGGACGCAGACTGCCACGTCTTTCTCTCTTGGAGTGCCTGGTGGGTTTGAACTGCTAACCGTTTGGTTAGCAGCTGAGTGCTTTAACCACTGTGCCGCCACGATTCCTATAAAGCAAAAGTAGCAGACGCGAAAGAGGATATAACTGAGATTCCATTTATATGAAGCACAAAAACAGACAAAATTAATCTGTGGTGTTAGTATTTAGTATGGTAGTTTCCCTTGGTGAGGTGGGGGGGGGTCACGCCCCACCCCCACCCCCTGCTGCCCCATATTAGTTTCTTAGAGCTGCTATAACAAATGACCACAAACTGGATGGCTTAAAGCAACAGAAATTTATTGTCTCACAGTCTGGATGCTAGAAGTTCAAAATCGGGGCCATGCTCTTCTTTGACGGCTCTAGAAGAGAATTTGTTCCGTACCTTTCTCTTAGCTTCTGGTGTTGCCAGCAATCCTTGGTGTTTCTTGACTTGTAGATGCATTACTCTAATTTCTGCTTCCATTGTCACATGACATTCTCTCTGTGTGTCTGTGTTCTTTTCCTCTTTATAGGGATGCCAGTCAGATTAGGACCCACCCTAATGATTTCAGTTTTAACTTAATTATATTTGCAAAGACCTATTTCCAAATGAGGTCACATTTGCAGGTACTGAGGGTTAGAACTTCAACCTGTATGTCTCTTTAGGGGACACACTTGAACCCATAACCTACTTCCAAGATATAAAGGGGACATAGAGGTGTAAGGGGGACTCTTGGGGACTGTTAATGTTTTGGTTACAGTTCAGTTTGTGAAAATTAAGCTTCTCTGTACATATATTATACTTCGGAAAAAGTTTTTTAAAAAGTCCATTTGAAGATGCTCTCACTGGCCTATGATGGGACAATTTGAGCATCAAAAAGAAAATTGACTAAAAATAAGAATCACCTGAGAAGGCAGAGAGGCTCAGGAGCTGGTTGACTGGACACGGGAAATCAGGGGTGGAAAGGGGGAGTGTGTTGTCACAGTATAGGGAGAGCAATTAGAGTCACATAACAATGTATGTATAAATTTTTGTATGAGACTGACTTGAATTGTGAACTTTCACTTAAAGTACAACCATAAAATAAAATTAAAAAAAGAAATACACAACCTAGGAAATATTTTTGCTGCCCCTCCTTTTCCCAAAAACCCAACAAACTGAAACAAAATTTATCAAAAATCTAGATCTAACTACTAGTTTAGGTGAAATGTAGAGGGTAGAGGAACAAGTTAAACAATACCACAAGGAAGCAATCAGCCAAATCTAGGATATAGATTGTTCCAAAGGACAAACTTTCAGATTTCTCCAAGAATGAAAAAAACTTAGGAGACGTAACAACCAAATTCATCATGAAGACCTTGTTTGGATCCTGATTGGAATCAATCCGCTGTAAAAAACGTCTTTGAAACAACTGGAAGATTTTGAATATGAATTGAGTATTAGATGATTTTATAGGATTATTGTTAATTTTGCTAGGTATTATAATACTACAGTGTTGGTGTAAAAAATTTGTCAATTAGTGTTATATAACTTTTACAAGTGTAATGCCATTTTTAGGTTTTGTTAAATATTGCAGCAAAAAAGAAAACAGTGGGAATGGGGGCTTGGAACAAAATTGGCAAAATGTCAGTTATTTTTTAAATTGAGTGATGTGTACTTGTGGGTTAATTTTACTATTCTGTCTACTTTTTTTAATGTATGTTTCAAAATATCCAAAATAAGTTAAACAAATAAATTCACTGATACTACTTGGGAAAATTGTCATCCCTTTAGTGACAGTACAGCCAGTTACAAATGAAAAGCTGTAGTGAGTCGAACTCTCTCCTGCTAGCCTCTCAAACCTGACTGTGTCTTCTTTTATATATTTACCTATCCTATAGTTTCTGGAAATAACTTGGCAGAACCCCCAGGAGGTACCTCGGCAGAGCAAGAAGTTATATGTATTGATGGAGGAGAGGTCCTCCCCAAACAGGTAATGTGAACATCATTTTATTTTGTTTTTTTATTGTTGTGCTTTAAGTGAAAGTTTACAATTCAAGTTATTCTCTCATACAAAAATTTATACATACATTGTTTTGTGACCCTAGTTGCTCTCCCTAAACTGTGACAGCATACTCTTCCTTTCCACCGTGGGTTTCTTGTGTCCATTCAACGAGCTCCTGACCTTCTCTGCCTTCTCATCTTGCTTCTGGATAGAAGCTGCCCATTTAGTCTAATGTATCTACTAGAGCTAAGAAGCATGCTCTTCACCAGTATCATTTTCTGTCCCATAGTGCAGTCTAATCTTTGTCTGAAGGGTTGGCCTCGGGAATGGTTTTAGTTTTGAGCTAACAGAGAGTCTGGGGGCCATGTCTTCTGGGGTCCCTCCAGTCTCAGTCAAACCATTAAGTCTGGTCTTTTTACTAGAATTTGAGTTCTGCACCCCACTTTTCTCTTGTAAGGGACTCTGTGTTGTGTTCCCTGTCAGGGCAGTCATTGTGGTAGCTGGGCACCATGTAGTTCTTCTGGTGTCAGGCCGATGGAGTCTCTGGTTTCTGTGGCTCTTTCTGTCTCTTGGGCTAATATTTTCCATGGTGTTCTTCATTCTCCTTTACTCCAGGTGGGTTGGGACCAATTGATGGCTGCTCACTAGCTTTTAAGACACCAGATGCCACTCCCCAAAGTGGAATGCAGAACATTTTGTTAAAAAAAACTTTGTTATGCCAGTTGACCTAGATGTCCCCTGAAAGCATGGTCCCCAGACCCCTGCCCCTACTACTCTGTCCCGTGAATTGTTTGGTTGTATTTGGGAAACTTCTTAGCTTTTGTTTAGTCCAGTCGTGCTGACTTCCCCTGTAGGGTGGGCTGTCCTTCCCTTCACCTAAGATAATTTTTGTCTACTATCTAGTTAGTGAATACTCCTTTCCCTCCCTCCCCACCCTCGTAGCCATCAAAGAATGTTTTCTTCTGTGTTTAAACCTTTTCTTGAGTTCTTATAACAGTGGTCTTATACAATATTTGTTCCTTTGAAACTGACAAATTCACTCAGCATCATGCCCTCCAGATTCCTCCACGTTATGTTTCACAGATTCATCGTTGTTCTTTATCATTGCATAGTATTCCATTGTGTGAATATACCATAATTTGTTTATTCATCCATTGATGGGCACCTAGGTTGTTTCCATCTTTTTGCTATTGTGAACAGTGCTTCAGTGAACATGGGTGTGCATATATCTATTCGTGTGATGGCTCTTATTTCTCTAGGATATAGTCCAAGGAGCAGAATTGCTGGATCGTATGGTACTTCTATTTCTAGCTTTTTAAGAAAGCGCCAAATCGATTTCCAAAGTGGTTATACCATTTTACATTTCCACCAAAACTGTGTAAGTGTTCCAGTCTCTCCACAACCTCTCCAACATTTATTATTTTGTGTTTTTTGGATTAATGCTAGCCTTGTTGGGGTGAGATGGTATCTCGTTGTAGTTTTGATTTGCATTTCTCTAATGGCTAATGATCATGAGCGTTTCCTCGTGTCTGTTAGCTGCCTGAGTGTTGGCGAAGTGCCTGTTCATATCCTTTGCCCATTTTTTAATTGGTTTATTTGTCTTTTTGTTGTTGAGGTTTTGCAGTATCTTGTAGATGTTAGAGATTAGACACTGATGGGATTTGTTGTAGCCAAAATTTTTTTCCCAGTCTGTAGGTTGTCTTTTGACTCTTGGTTAAGTCTTTTGATGAGCTTGAGTGTTTGATTTTTAGGAGCTCCCAGCTATCTAGTTTCTTGTCTGGTATTTGTGCATTGTTACTTATGGTTTGTATTCTGTTTATGCCATGTATTAGGGCTCCTAGCATTGTCCCTATTTTTTCTTCCATGATCTTTATTGTTTTAGGTTTTATATTTAGGTCTTTGATCCATTTTGAGATAGTTTTTTGCATGGTGGGAGGTATGGGTCTTGTTTCATTTTTTTGCAGATGGATATCCAGTTATGCCAGCACCATTTGTTAAAGAAAGTATCTTTTCCCCAATTAACAGACTTTGGGCCATTGTCAAATATCAGCTGCACGTAGGTGGGTGAATTTACTTCTGGATTCTCAATTCTGTTCCATTGGTCTATGTATCTGTTGTTGTACCAGTTCCAGGCTGTTTTGACTACCATGGCAGTGTAATAGGTTCTAAAATCAGGTAGTGTGAGGCCTCCCACTTTGTTTTTCTTCTTGAGTAATGCTTTACTTATCTGGGGCCTCTTCTCATATGAAGTTGGTTATTTGTTTCTCCATCTCATTAAAAAAATGCTGTTGGAATTTGGATCGGGATTGCATCGTATCCGCAGATCGCTTTGGTGAACATCATTTTAAATGAAAGGTTTAGATTTTCTGATAAAAAGGAAGGTGCAGGCTAAAAGGAGTCTCCCTGGGTTGTACAAATGGTTTACATGCTCAGATACTAACCAAGAGGTTGGAGGTTCCAGTCCACCTAGAGATACCTCAGAAGAAAGGCCTGGTGATCTAATTCTGAAAAATCAGCCATTGAAAACCCTATGGAGCACCAGTTCTACTGACACACATGGGTCACCATGAGTCTGAATCAACTCGAGGGCAACTAGTATTGCAGGCTAAAATGGGAAGGTTGCAGGTGTTGTAGGCAGGAGGTCCAGGTGTGAGTCCTATCCCAGTTACTTATTACTTGTGTGAGTGCTTCTTCTGTTTAAAAAAAATGAGGGAGGGGGTGAGGAAAACCTGTCCTGCCTACCTAACAGGGTTAAGGGTCAGATGAAATAGTAGATACGAATGCACTTTATAAACTATCAGAGATAGTATGATTGCTGTGTAATAAACAGTTTTTTAAAATAACACCTACTTACCAACCTACCATTGTCCCTAATAGTAGAGTTGTTTACACCTGCTGTGGATTCTGCCAGTCACAAAACATCATCAGCTTTTTGCACTTATATGTTCTTCTTGCTGTTATAAAATTTGTCTCCAGATTTTAATTGTTTTCTTGTAGAAAAGTTTTATGTACCTTATAAGTCCATTTATGTGTATATATTTTCTTGTTTAAAGTGCACACAAAAGGGATTATATTACACCTTGTTCTCCCTACGTATTACAGGTTGTAGAGTTGTAACCGTGTTCTTATTAACAACTGCGAGTTGTTAATACGAGTAAATTTTTAGTTAACCTTTCTCTTGTAATATGCACTGTGGTTGTCTCTTTATTTTTTTTTTTTCTGTTACAAATCATGCTGTGGTGAACATCCTTGTAGAATTGTTTTGGCAAATATTTATGACTACATCCCAGGGGTATATTTATAGGAGAGAGATTGTTTGTCAGAGGAAATATATATGTATTTTTTAGATTTTATAACCTGTTGAACCCGTTGCCGTCAAGTCAATTCCGACTCATAGCAACTCTATAGGACAGAGTAGAACTGCCCCACAGAGTTTCCAAGGAGTGCCTGATGGATTCAACTTGATGGATAATGCGAAATTGCCCTCCAAATTAATGACATGATAATGCCATTGCCTTGTGTCAGTTTCTACTTGCACCAACAATAAAACATGCTTGTTTCTCCCTCACTCTCACCAGTGCTTGGTGTCATCAGACATCAGTTTATACCAGTCTAATAGCATTTCATTCCCTTTTGCATGAGATCCGTGAGTTGGGGGCCAACTTGACGGCAGCTAACAACAGTAGAGGAAAAAATGGTCTCTTATTTTAATTTGCATTTCTTTAATTGTAAGTGGATGCCTGTTAATCATTTATTTTCTGTAAGCTGTTTGTATCCTTTCTTTGTTTTCCTGTTATGTTTTTCCCCCCTCATTGATTCACATAAGCTAAATATTTTATAACTACTTGACAGCCAAGTATAACGTACATTCCCCTTTGTTGGTTATCTGGGTAGTTGGCCAGCTTTTTGTTTTTTGTGGGGTGGGGCTTGTTTTTGATATCTTTGTGCAGATAGCTACTTTTCTTCATCTGAGTGAAGAAAAAAATAGTCAAGAATTTCATAAGATCAAAAAAGTATTTTTTTTAATGGCTTTTATTACATTTTGCCAGATTGCCTTCTAGAAAGAATGACAAGTGATTCCTAGGTGTTATAGTTTTTCTGTAGCCTTTTCTGTTGTGTTATCATTTGTGTGTACTTTTGTTAATTTGATAGGGTTGCAGATCCTCTTCAAGACTGACTTTACATCTTCTCTAATTTGAATGTATTTTGGTTTCTATGTTGCAGTCTTCCCAAAAATCCAACCCTCTTCTCTCTTCTGAGCCTGCGGATGAGGAAGATGGAGACACTTGCACAATATGTTTGGAGCAGTGGACCAATGCTGGGGACCACCGGCTCTCAGCATTACGCTGCGGGCACCTCTTTGGGTATAGATGTATTTCTAAGTGGCTCAGAGGACAGGCACGAAAATGTCCCCAGGTAAGGACCATAAGTAAGGGCTGTGCATGTTCATACTCAACATATTAAGTCAGGAGGTGGGAGGATTCCCAGAACCACACTAATTGTGTCCGGTTGGACTCTTTACTTTTAGTGCAACAAGAAAGCCAAGCACAGTGACATTGTTGTCCTCTATACTCGAACCCTGAGAGCTTTGGACACTAGTGAACAGGAACGGATGAAAAGGTAGGTGGCAAGTCTCTGCCTAGCTGGAATGTTTCCTTTTGACTCCTTGTAGGAACATCTGAGAAAAGGAGGTAGGAATCACTGTTAGTGGGGTTAAAGTTTACTTGGGCTGTGACTTGGGATCTCTGGGTATCATTGACAGTCTGTTTCACATTATGGTTTATAATACATGTTCTGGTCAGTCTTCTGAAAGAGGTCTACATGATTTACTCTCCATACAGTGTTAAAAATGAGGATCTGACACTCTACTTAAAGGTTGCTGTTTGTGATTCTTGTGTCTTTAAGCCTTCCTACAACCGCTCTCTATACAGAAGACTTATGAGTGAAGCTTTTGCACATGCAGTGCAATGTAAGAAATTACCAGGATTTTGAAAGCCCATGAGAGGTTGCTAATAACAGTACTTAAAACATGCTTTAAGAACATTAAAAATACCCACTGTTGGGAGAGTGCAGAGACTCGGATCCTCTCACCTTATTGGTGAGACTGTCCACAGGCACAACTATTTAGAGAGACCCTTTGGCAATGTTTCAGAAGTCTTTAAAAGCCTTTGATCTAGTAATTCTACTTCAGGTTGAGGATGTGTACAACAATTTATGAGACTTTTCATTTAGCATTGTTAATTGGTTGAGTAAACTGTGATGAATCCCTGTGATGAAATACTGTATGTTCATTAAAACTGATGTTGTAGAAGAGCACATAATACATTGTTGTGTGAAAGCATGTTAGTAGACAGTAGGACTACAGTTGTGTGAACTCGAAGAAGAAAACACTACCATTAGTCACTGAGGAGTGGGATTACAGGTTGATTTTTTTTCTCCTGCTTATTTTATTTTTCCTCATTTGCTCCAACTAATATTTATTTGTAGTATTTTTAAATGGTGGATATATAGAGAGGGAAACTTCCTTGGAAAACATAGGTGTGGCTGTCAGTGGGTGATTGTATTAAACAAATCACTAATTACAATACTATGACCAGTCACTGCTTCTTAGCCTCCTTAGAAAAAGGAAATGTTTTAAAATGACAGTAAATACAGAGACTGATGAAAAGGAGCACCTTGTACCTAACTTTATCAAATCTTAACATTTTGCCATATTTGCTTTGGGTCTTCTTTAAAAGACATAAATCATTATAGGTATAGTAAGTAAAAGCTTTCCTGTGAACTAAATTCTCCTTAATTCCATCTCTTTCCCCAGAGGTAATCACGTTCCTAAATTAGTTGTTCATCATTCCGAAGAATGATTATATATTTGACTAGCTATATATGTATCCATAAATGTATGTTTTAAAAAGTTTTTATACTTTATGCAAATGTTATCATGCTGGGTTATAATTTTCCTTTTCTAGCTTGCATTTTGGTTTAATACTATGTTTTGGGGACCTATCTACATTAATACATGTAGCTCTAGTTCATTCATTTCAGTTGGGGAATGTTATTGATTTAATTTTCTTGATACTGATTTCAGCAGCCTTGCTGAACTCTAACAGTTTGTAGAGTCTCTTGAATATTCCGTGAAGATAAATAAGGATAGCTTTATCCTTTCTTTCTATTTATTGTATCATTTATTTCTTTATCCTGTCTCATTGGACTCTGAATCTGTCTTTGTATTTCATATTTTGAGGCTGTTTTTAGATGCACACGAATTTATGATAAATCTTGGTGAATGCATCCTTTTGTTATGCATTGTGCCTCTTTATGCATGCATATTCATGCTTTTTGTTTTCATTCTTAATTGGTCTTTCGGTTAGCATTTGCCTAGTGAATACTTCCTATTTTCTTTCAACCTCTTTTTGGTGGTATTGCTTGTGTATCTGACACACAGTAGACAGCTTGATTATTATTATTTTTTAACCTAACAGATAACCTTGGTCTTTTACTATGTCAGTTTAATCTTTTATAGTTTGGCCCTAGCTTTAAGCAGTGAGCTTGGCTTGTTTCCTCATTGTGCCTATAGCATTTTTAGTCCCCATTCACCAGTAGGGTCCAAACTGCTGGCCCTCACTGCCTGCTTTAACACCAGAGCCTAGTAGGCTAAGGACTTCAGCCCTGTGTGCTACATTTCTGTAGTATTCTGGACTTAAGATATTTTTATCTTTTTGTATTTCATTCACTATTGTGAAATGTTTACAGCAAAGTGTGTATATCACAACATAAGCTTACTATGCCATCTTGATGGGAAGTCTTCTCTAACCTTCCTAATCCTACCACTTATTTCTGGCTTCCCCCCTCTAGTTCCTTACTGAAGGAACAGATGATAAGGAAGCAGGCTGAGTTAGAATCAGCACAGTGCCGCCTCCAACTTCAGGTTCTCACTGAAGAATGCACTAAGCTTCATGGTCGTGTCCAGGTAAGCTTGCCCTTCCTAATCTAAAGAACTTTTGGAATAGGAATTAAAGAGAAATCTGAACATCTCAGGGTCATCTCAGATACAAATAGGATTTGCCAAGTGTTTCAAAGGTAAGCATGACCAATTCTCTGTTTTACTTCTGATTAGATCATTTATCCAAGTCTTATACTCTATATGATGAATTCTACTGTAATTGCAGTTTTAGAAAAAATTTAAAAGGTGATAATTTTGAATTTGCTTAAGTCATTTCATCTACCAGTAAAATGAGAGTTTTAGGCAGAATGACCATAAAGGACTTTCAACTCTAATATTTTATGATTCTGTGCTCTCCTTATTTTACTTGCTTGTTAAAATATTGTGAAAACTATAGTAGTTTTCTAGGATTTACGTTAACATTTCCATATAATGGGTAAGAAATCTCCATGTATCAGATCAAGGAGTTGTGCTTGAGAGTAAATATCAAACCAAAAAGCTTTTCTTTTATGAAACCTTTTTCATTTTAGGAATTGCAAAAACTTATTGTACAGCATCGGGATCAGATTTTGCAACACCCCAGGAGCTGCCAAGCACATTTCCTAGGCTGCCTGTCCTCCAGTCAGGGCCAGCACAAGTATCATTTCCAGAAGACCTTCACGGTGTCTCAGATAGGGAACTGCCGAATCATGGCATACTGTGATTCCATGAGCTGTCTGGTGGTGTCACAGCCTTCTCCTCAGGCCTCTTTCCTGCCAGGTAAACAGTCCAGAACCTCGGCTTTCATGCACATTATCTGATTCCATTCGTGCTTCTCCTCTCCCTTTTTGAAGGATTCAGGTCTCAATAGTGAGTGAACACTGACCATAACTCACCAAATTACCTTTTCCCATCAGTTCCCTGTTAATGCACTTACTCTAAGGTGTGGCAGAAATATCTCTGGTGTCCGTTTACTTTATTCTGTAAATTTGTTCACTGAGAGGGTAGAAATACTGGTAACGTGATAAAGTGGGCGAAGATAAAGTATAGTCCAAAGAGAAGGATATTACGTATGTGTCTTATTAAACTCACAGATTCATTTTAGACTGGCAAAGTAGGATAAAACACTACCTCAAGGGCTAATTCAAATTGAAACAAGATTTAATAGTACCTATTTTCAGTAGAGTTCAAATTTACAAATTCAAAATAAAAGAATTGATTATTTGATTAGGTGAGCCCTGGTAGCACAGTGGTTAAGCTCTCAGCTGCTAACTGAAAGGTTGGTGGTTCAAATCCACCAGCAGCTGTGTGGGAGAAAGATGTGCCAGCCTGCTTCTGTAAAGATTTACAGCCTTGGAGACCATATGGGGCAGTTCTGCCCTGCCCTATATGGTTGCTATGAGTTAGAATCAACTCAGTGGCAACAGGTATAGTAATTTTTCTCTTTTAACATACTCTGTGCGTTTTAAAAATAATTTTAGTGAATGTTTACACACCAAATTAGGTTCCCATTTGACAATTTCTATATAGATTGTTAAGTGACATCAGTTACATTTTTCACAATGAGTCAGCATTCTCTTTAATTGCATTCTGGTAGTTCCGTTTCAGTGCTCTAGTTTTCCCTGCCCCCTTAGTCTTCTCATCTTTGCTTTAGAGTAATTTTTGACCTTTTGGTCTCATATTGATGGTTTTTTAATGGAGTACCGTACTCATGGGTAATATCCTTTATTTTGCATGCCAATCTGTTATTTCGCTATAAGGCTACCTTGGGATAGTTTTGGTTCAAGGTTTAAAGAATATCTCAGGCTGATAGTCTCAGGAAGTCCTCTAGTCTCAACTGATCCAGTAAATATGGACTTTTTAAAAATTTGAATTCTGTTATGTGTTTTTCTCCTGTTCTGTCAGGGTGTATCTATTGTGGCCCTGACCAGAATGGTCAGTAGTAGTAGCCAGATACCATCTAGTTCTTCTGGTCTTCTGGTAGATGAGGCCATGGATCATGTAGGCTATTAGCCCTATTTTGTGCATTTTAAGCTTAGTTTTAGATTGTCTTAATGCTAGAAACCAAGTCTCCCCATATGCTTAGTTATCATTCCCACATGTTGCAGATGTTTCTTCCTATTGTCTTCAGCATATGGTCTCTGCCAGCTGCCAGGCCCCTTTGCTTCAGCCTGGTTTCCAGTTTCCTCACTTAGAAGTTCCATTCAAGTGCTTAAAAACTGTCCCCAAAACTTAAGTATATATGGGGTTGGGAGTGGAATACCTAGATTATTGTATGTTTCTGTTTTCACTGACATTAGCTATGAGTTGAGAGGTTATCACTGGGCTCCAAATGAGGAGAAAGTAAACAGGATTGTTCTCTATCTCTCCTGTCCCTTCTCTTGGATCAGAGGAGGGGCAGTAGGCCTGTGGAAAGGGAAGATGCCTGTATTTACTTCCTTGCCGTTAGCTGCCGTCAAATCGATTCCGAGTCTTGGTGACCTTATATTTGCAGAGTAGAGCTGCTCCACAGGATTTCCAAGGCTGTGATCTTTTGGAAGCAGACCACCAGGCCTATCTTCAGGGGTGCCTTTGGATGGGTTCGAACCACCAGCATTTCAGCTAGTAGTCAGGTGCTCAATCGTTTGCACCACCCAGGAACTCTGTAAACGGAATTGTTTATAGAGAATGTGCCTATAGTCATCAAATAAAAGCTTCCCCACAAATTAGAAAATAGTATATTTTATATGCTATTTTTTCTCCAAATTGAGTATATTCTGTTTCTTTCTCTTAATGTGTCTGTGCCACTCTGCACAGCTATCTCTCCTTGATAGCCTGTTGGTGCTGATTTGTCCTTGTTCCCTTGATTAAGCAGCTATTCGTGTTCCCTTGTTGATTTAAGGCCTGTAATCTCCCTGTTTTTTGTCTTTCTGGCTCTGCTATTTCTGTTTCAGGAGAAAGTGCAGTAAACTTTCTCCCACTTGGTTCCCTGGAGAAACTGAGGTACGATTTGAGGCTACCTTGAATTTAGGATTTGACAAATTCTGTTTTTGTATAACAGATAATAACAGACATTTAATAAAAATAAATCTGTCATCATCTTATGAAGAGAACAAAGTAGCAAATAAATTTAAAAGGACTTCTTGTTTTTTCCCCTTCAAGAGTGATATGCACTGATTAGGATACTTGAGATGCCATCTGTTTCATTCCATTCCAGACAGACAGATGTAGCATGTCATGATCACCTGACATAGAAATTACTTATTTCCACTCTTTATTTTTTCTGTTTGAATGTCTGTAATTCACGATGAATGTTCTCTCTTTTTAACTTCTTTATTGACATATAATTGATATACAAAAAACCTTTTATTTACACACTTTGATGAGCTTTGACACATGCATACACCCCTGAAACCATCACCACAATCAAGACAATTAGCACATCCATCACCCCAAAGGTTTTCTCTTGCCCTTTATAGTCACTTCTGCTTGTCTCTTCCCATCACCAACTCTTCATCCCCATGCAACCATTGATCTGTTTTCTGTCAGTATAGATCTATAATTAGTTTCCATTTTCTAGAATTTTATATAAATGGAATCATACAGTATATACTTTTTGTCTAGCTTCTTTCTTTCTTCATAATTTTTTTTCAGTTCATCCATGTTGTTGTGTATATCAATAGTTTATTCCTTTTTATTGCTGAGTAGTATTCTATTTTTTATATATATATAAATATATAATAATACAATGTATATAATGGATTTATTTATCCATTCACCTGTTGATGGTCATTGGGAATGTACTTTTTAAATAAATTATAACCCTGGGAAATTTTTATTTTCTTTTTTTAACCAGCTGTTTTCCAGGAACTTAATGCCAAGAAAGGTGAGCAGAGGAGCTGCGTGAAAAGATAGTTAATTTTGCCCTAAATTGACTTTCAGTGACCTATTTTATTCTCTTATTTTTGCAGGCTTTGGTGTTAAGATGTTGAGTACTGCCAACATGAAGAGTAGTCAGTACATTCCAATGCATGGCAAGCAGATTCGCGGATTGGCTTTCAGCAGTCGGTCCAAGGGCTTGCTACTCTCTGCCTCCCTGGACAGCACTCTTAAACTGACTAGGTGAGCGCTTCAGGGAGGGAGATGGGGCCTGAGCTACTTGGGGTTGAGCAGCGTGGTATTGGGATCAATGAGGCTGATGGCCTTAGCTCTCTTTTTTGGTCTGAGGCATTCTCTTCGGAGATTCAGGCTCATTGAATTTAAAATATATTGCTTTTAAAAGTGACCACAGCAGGTTACAAACGAGTATGTGTAGCATTCCTGTTTCTTTAGAAATAAATATTCCAAAATAGATCATGCAGATGAGGGCAACACTCTAGGGATAGTGGAGTAACAACATGTAGGCAGCCTTGGTACCTGACACAGTGGAGCCATGCCAGCTCAGGACTTCTCATTCCTGGTCTCATACTTTGATAATTCTGCCTGACAGAAATACTCATCAGATACTCGCTCTTGGTGGGTTCCATGAATGACTTCTCATACCCTCAATTACGGTATTTTGTCCTACGTATACTCTGAGTATGAACCAGGTCTGAGTGTGCTCTGTGCCTTTTTCTTCTCTCTTTTTTTTTTTTTTTAAAAAAAAAACAAAAAAAAAAACCCTGTGGCCTCCCAAGTACGAATATTTTAGAATTAAAAGAAGTTATCTGGGGCAGTCCCTGGAGGAAATTAAGAATCCACATAGTTTAGGTGTGTGGATGTGTTCTTAATAAGGAGTATTAATCTTTAAATGATAGTTTTTACATCTTTGTCAGATATTTATTGTTGTTACTACATAGTCATAAAAGTCTCTTGTAACGCCACAGCCTGGAGACAAATACTGTGGTCCAGACCTACAATGCTGGACGTCCTGTCTGGAGCTGTTGCTGGTGTCTTGATGAGAACAATTACATCTATGCTGGACTGGTCAATGGTTCAATTCTCGTCTATGACCTGCGAAACACGAGCTGTCACGTCCAGGAGCTTGTGCCTCAGAAAGCCAGGTAGGGAGCAACTCATTTCCTCCCTATACGTAGTAGCTTCCTCTTGGACTGTTATTGCTACTGGTGTTCTCAGCAGATAGTCTTCCATGGTGGTCAGAAATCCTCATGAAGAGCCATTTCTCTGATATCGGCTGAGCTAGTCTCGCATAAGAGTCGTTAAGATCCTTACGGCTTTTGTTAATGATACTTCACAGGGTGGAAAACACTGGTTCCTAGTATGGCCAGGCTCATGGAGTCCCTCATCACCCAACATGGTAAAATGAAGTTAGAGCTCTGTTCGAAACCCAGCTCCACTACTTGCTAGCTGTGTGACCTTGGTTGTGTTTGTTGGTCTTTTGTGAGCCTCATCTGTAAAATGTGGTTAGCAGAACCAACCACGTAGACTTTAAAAGCAGTGTGTGCGGTATACAGTAAGAGATCAGTAAAGGATAATCCAGTAAAAAAAGTGACTTTCAAAAACTTCCCTAATCCAGAGCCAAGCCTGCTTGGTCTGCAGACACCATATTACTTTTGTTTATAACAGAGTTATGGGGTTAGGAGGCTTGTAAAGTCAACCCAAGTTCCGAAGATGGGTGGCCACCAGCACCACTGTGACTCTTTGGAATGTGTTGAGCCTCACTTGTGCCTAATACTGTCCTGGGGCGTAAAGTTCTCAAAGAGGGTGGTGAAGCCTGTGACTTGGATCAAAATGGAAAGTATCTTAAGACAAATTTTCATTTCCAATTTCAGTATGTATTAAAAAGGGGAAAAAAGACATCTAAATGTAAAGATGATAAATACAGTAATAATTATTTACTGAAGTCTAAGCTTAACACTTTGGGGTCTTTTCATCTGTGGGGGAATGTGGGTGAAATCGTGCTTCAGTGATGTGCTCCATGGGCACGAAGATGATTGATGTAAAACTTAACACACATGTGAATTCCAGGCAGATGAGATAATTGCTGATGATGTAGAGGGGTCCACATAGACACTTAATAAAAGTAGATGGTGAATTTTAAAATAGCGAGGAAATACTTTGGTGAGTGGCGTCTGGGGTCTTAAAAGCTAGCGAGCAGCCATCTAAGATCCATCAATTGATCCCAACCCACCTGGAGCAAAGGAGAATGAAGAATACCAAAGATACCAAGATACAAGGAAGGTATTAGCCCTAGAGACAGAAAGGGCCACATAGTTTTAATTATCAACTTCCACTTAAAGTACAGCAGTAAAATAGCAAGGAAAAAATGTTTGCATATATTATTCATTTTTAGGTTGCTTTAGTTGGCTTAATTGTCACAGGCAAGATAAAACAGGCAAAGCGGTAGCTTTTGGCAACTTCAGCAGAAGTTCTTAGGAACATAGTCTGTAGACTGATAATTCTGACAGGATTCTTAGTGTACAATCCTGATAATGTGCTTGCAGAAAGAGATTTAGAGGGATTTCTCAATCCTGTTTCTGAATTAAAATATAGTTGCTTGAGGCTGTGTTTTAAATGAGGGGATCTGTCAACTACAGCTTGGAAGCTTTATTAGATGTAAACTGTTTCCTTACTAGCTTTTCTTATTTATGTGGTTAGCCTCATTACCAGATGCTTCACACCAATTAGGCTTCTTTGTAATTTCTGATGATGTGTCTGTTAAGTTTCCTAGTCGATTTTTAAAAGCTTTTAGAGCATCTGGCATCTCCTCTGAAATTGCATGCGGAGTATTGTGTATATGCCCTTTTGTTCCTACAGAAAGGGTTGGTAGTTTTTATTAGATGCCAGAGGATAGTGATCCACTGAAGGTTTTTAACCTTTTCTGTAGAGGTAGGGTGCTCAAGGATTCCTGTTGGTGGTGTTTGGAGCAATCCAAGTATCAGAACGTGAGTGTCATTTCTTTTCTTTCCCTTCAGATGCCCACTGGTATCCCTGTCATACATACCTAGAGCTGCTTCGGCTGTATTTCCTTATGGTGGGGTGCTGGCTGGAACCTTGGAGAGTGCTTCCTTCTGGGAGCTAAAAATGGGCTTTTCTCACTGGCCTCACGTCCTGCCTTTGGAGCCAGGAGGCTGCACAGATTTTCAGACGGAGAGTACCACTCGGCACTGTCTTGTGACCTACAGGCCCGGTGAGTGTTGGGTTGTCTTCATGGGGCCTCCCATGGTTTGTTTGGGAGTGAATTGGTAGAGGGAAGGAGAAAGAGCTTGACCCTAGCCTTCTGATGGCACTGGTAAGCCCTTCACAGGCTAAAGCCCCTGGTTATGTTGCAGCTCTTGCTACTGCAGTGAGGATGGTGACTTCAAGTTCCTCCCTAGAGCCTGCCTCCCTGCTCCTCACTTGTGTGAACTGGGATAGATCCTCCTAGGTATTTCTTAAAAGTGTATTAGTCACTTTACAAGCCTCTGCATTATAAAATGATAGTGGAATCAGGAGGCCCGACTGTGTTGCTATTGAGCCACTCTCAGATCAGTTTCATGTCTTCTGCTTGCCCCTCACTTCACCTAAGAGAAAAGCAGATGAAGGCAGCCAAATAGGGCCCAGACTAGGTTTTTCACTGGTAACTCATTTGGGGCAAATGAAGGTAAGCAGAGAGAAGATGGACAACCATGTGTGTGTGGACTAGCCAGCTGGACTTCACTGCCTCCTGAACCAGGGGTAGAACCCCTCATAGTCAGCCAACTGTGCATAGGTTCTTACTATACTAGAGGCATGGATCTAAATTCCTGATGAACCCTACTGATGGCCAGACAGATGTTTGGTCAAAGACAGTCATTAAATTGCCCATGCTTCTGCTGGTTGTGGGGAAATCTAACATGTTAAGTTTTGTTTGGGCTGCAAAGCCATCTCAGCAGACTGTTCTAACTCTCTGGTTCTTAGTCATCCCATAAGTTCTCTAGTTTCAAGACTGATTTCTGTGACTTGTGTGGAAAGCTTGAAGGACCCATTTTATTCTCTAGCTTTTATTTGTTGTTGTTAGGTGCTGTCAGGTCGATTCCAACTCTTAGTGACCCCATGTGACAGTAGGTCTAGGCTGTGACCTTTACCTGAGCAGATCACCAGGGCTTTCTCCCTTGGAGCCACTGAGGGGGTTCGAACCGCTGACCTTTCGGTTAGCAGCCGAGTACCTAACCATTGCATCACTTCTTTAATAACATGCTCTCATTTTATAAAAATGCACAGTTCCAGGGGTTCATGGGGTCCTCACCCAGGTAAGGGGGAAAAAAGAGCCTTTTATTCAGAACTCTGAAGAGCAGTAAATCCACTAACAGAGGTCTGGCGGGATATACTGATTTTACTAAAAACGGATAGCTCATGCTTAGAATTGTTTTCCTCGAGGGCAAAAACCTACTGTAGATAACTTGCTTCATCCTAGCTTGGGGCTTCTGAATGTCATTTGTGTTGTATTGTTTTGTTTTTGTTATTATGTTTGCTTTGTAGCTATTCTTGATGGTTTAACACACTTGGCTTTTTTACCCAACTAGGTTATAAGTGTCTGAGGTTCAGGAACTTGGTTTTTTTTTTTTTTTTTTTTTTTTGTATCATCGCCATGGGGCAACACTGATTTCTCTGTCCTGTAGATAAAAACCACAACACCTTACGAAGCGTGCTGATGGAGATGTCCTACAGCCTGAATGATATTGGAGAACCAGTCTGCTCGTGCCATCCTGTACAGACATTTTTTGGGGGACCCACTTGCAAGCTACTGACCAAAAGTGCCATTTTCCAAAGCCCAAAGAATGATGGCAGCCTCCTGGTGTGTTCTGGGGATGAATCATCCACTTCTGCCCTGGTGAGTGTATTTTTTTTTTTATTTGTATAAAAGTAGTAGGAGAAAACTCAAAAATTTTTATGTTTAGTGGCATCACTAGAGGGGTGTGGACTGCACTGGGTGACACCAAAATGACTGTCTGTAAAAATATCCCTGTGGTTAGTTACAACAACAAAAACATTTTTCGTAAACCCAGCTTACAGGTATCAGTATACCTCCAACGCTAAAACTATGCTCATTTACTTTTTGAACCTTCTGACATGCTCTGGTCAGAGCTGTCATTATTACTCAATTACAGTGATGCTTCAGAACATGTGGTTTTGTCTGCACATGCTACAAGCACGCACTGGTGTTTTCATTGCTGCTGCTGTTTTTATAGTCTCTGATTTTGTCAATTTTTCTGGGTTTAGCTACAATATTGTGGTAATTAGTATTTGTAAACCTATATCAATAACTTTTTTTTGAGAATGAAGTAGTAGTAATTAAATGAAAAAGAAGGAGTGATATATGGGAATTACCATTTATGAATAACATTAGTACAAAAATTTACTAAGAATTCTGAGTGTTCTGGTATGGGAAGAGGTCCATGGTGGGGGGTGATGCCATGAGTTACCACACTGAGTGATGCCAACCCTAGTGACGCCACTGTTTATATATAGACATTTTATATACAAGTATATGAAGCAAAAAGTCAAAATTCTTCTCCATAATCCTGCATTAGCATCACTGTAAGTGGGTTAGCCAAAATTAACATGCATCTTCGATGTAATGCAATATGAAGCACCCAGCACCTCCTTTGAGATATCCTTGAACCTCAATCTAATCTGGCTTAGACCAGTACTGTGCAATTAAGTTATACTAGCCAGATGAGAACTTGAAATGTGATTACTCTGAGTGAAGAACTTAATTTTTTATTTTATTTAATTTTAATTATTTTAAAAATATAACCATATGTACTAGTAGGCCTGTGTCTTAGGCTGGGTTCTCTAGAGAAGCAAAACCAGTGAAGTGTATAAATATATATATAGAGAGAGATTATATCAAGGAAACAGCTCATGAGATTGTAGAGGCTAGAATGTCCCAAGTCCATGGATCAGGGTAGAGGCCTCTCCCAAGTCACACAGCTGCAGAAGCTGGCAAGCCCAAGATCGGCAGGTCGGAGAGCAGGGCTCCCGCTCACAGGCTGTGCAGATCGACGAATCCCAGGTTCGGCAGATAAGGTGACAGCTCAAGTCCCAAGAACGGGAGATGAGACGACAGGAAGCAGCTGCAGGATCCAGAGAGAGCAAAAAGCTGGAACGTCTGCTTATATACAGATGTGGGCCACACCTCCAAGGAGACTCCCTTTCATCTGACTGGCTACTCGAAGTATATTCAATCATGGGAGTGATTACATTAAAACACTGAGATTCATGGCCCAGCCAGGTTGCAACACAATCTTAACCATCACAGCCTCCATAATGGGCAGCACCACTCTAGTTCTAGCGCTTTCGTTTATTGGAATTGCAGGGGATCGCAGAGCAAGTTAAATGATAGCATAGAAAGCAAACAGCCGAACCCAGGATGTGGGCATTTTATACAACAAACCAGCCTCCTCAGCAAGTCAATGGCAGGAAAAAAGTGGGAGGTTGGATCTACTCTAGATTCAAGAGTTTACTAAGATTTGTAACTGCCAAATGTAATGTGGTCCTTGCTTGGATCCTGCTTTGAACAAACCAAGCATAAGAAATTAACAGAAAATTTTGATTATGTGTTAGGTGCTAGATAGTACTATGGAATTATTCACTTGGTTGTACGTGGTGACCTTGAGGTGTAAGAAAAAGTTTTGTTTGCTTGCTTTTTTTGGGTAGAAATGACTTGAAGTCAGCAAGGAAAAAACTGGGATAGATAAAGCAAATATGGTAAAAGCTGAATAATTGTTCAATCAGAATGTTGTATTCTTTCTATTTTTAAGTGTTTAAAAATTTTTTTCATAATAAAACATTTTTTAAAAAGGAAAGAAAGCACCAGTTAGAAGGTAGGTTCCGTGAGGGCAGGGACAAGAAATTTGTCTTATTGATTCTTCTGTCCCTCAGCCGCTAGAAGAGTGCCTGGTACATAGACTGAAGGAATGAATGCTGAGCTTGGTTTTCAGATCCATTTACAAGGGGACTAGTCACTGGGTACAGCATGTGAGACCATACCTGAAATAAGTCAGGTGTGTTTGTTTTGCCTTGTGAAGGTTAAGGACAGTCTGCTTTTCTCCCCAGGCAGTGTTTTCTGTGCAGCTCAGCTAGTGCTGTCTGATAATTTAAAAAAAAAAAGCAAGTCCCCCAACTTAATTAACTGACCCCTGACCTTTTTCTCTGCTTGTCCTCTTTAGCTGTGGGATGCCAGCAGTGGCTCCTTGCTGCAGAAACTGCAGACTGATCAGCCCGTCTTGGACGTCTGCCCATTTGCGGTGAACCATCACAACTACTTGGCTACCTTAACAGAGAAGATGGTCCACGTCTATAGATGGGAGTGACCATGGTCTTGAAGCCCATCAGACACGCTGCTAGTTAATGTTAAAATGTTTTACCAGTACCTAGCAGCCCTACTTATCACCTGCAACCTAGAACTATTGGGATCATGGTTCATTTGGATTAGTATGATTCTGGGACTCCAGGTCACTGAGACACTACAAATTGTGTCTGCTATGTCCATCAAGAGAATGCATGACTGGTAGTCTGCCCACATTCTCCTTTTCTTGGGTTGTTGTTGGGTTGGAGTATCTTTATATTTGGTCTGTTTTTCTGCTGGACGTCAGAGTGTGTCCTTCCAGAAGTTATTTAGCGTAGGAGTACACACCAAGCATTTTCTGGAGTATGTAACACTCTAAGTGGTCTTGTCACTTGGGCCATTTGGCTTGGGGAAATGTCCCTGAAGGACAAGTGGTCTTCTTGATTTTACTTGGTGGATGTACGAGAGACTTTCTTCAGCTGAACACAAGAGGGCACTATAAAACCTTGAGTAGGGTTTGATTTGTTTTTGATCTCAGAGGCTGACCACATTTTAGCACCTTGGTCTCTCATCCTCACAGAAATGTGTGACAGGACATATGGTGTGCTTTGTGGCGGTAACAGTTATGTTCCAGACGTGTTGTGCTGGGAAATTGGCAAGCCCAGTCGTGGAGGGGGCTGACGAGCATAGACGCTTTCCTAATGCTGAGTGCATTAAGTTCACTTTGTGAGAGCTAAGCAAAGATATCAGTTGTTGAGCATCCGAGAAGAAGCATTTTTTTTTCTAGACAGCTTAGAATCTCAGAATTGGTTTTTTATAAGCTCATGCTTTGAAGGCCACTTTTTCCGCTCTCCAGGAAGATGAGCATATGTCAAAACTCTTTAGTCTTCTGCAGGATCAGAGATAAGGAAGAAGGGACTAAGAGAGGGCTTCCAACAGAGAAGTTGCTCAGACTGCTGCTGAGAACAGGAGAAGGGTTTTCTCTTCCTTTTTGAGAGAATTTATATCTAAATAAAGCCCTGGGAGTGAGGAGCTATTCTTGAGCATGTTTGTGATTTCCAGATAAAGTCTTCCCCATGTGAAACTGATGTTTGATTCCATGTTCCTCTGATTTCCTTCATTTCATAACTTTTCTAAATGTTTTGCTAGTAAAATGGTTGTTCTCAAGAAGATAATAGCAGTTGAAGGCCTGTAGATAGTGGGGAGATGCCCACCACCTTCCAGTTCAACCCTAGATTGTCCAAAATTGGGGGCTGTATTTTTCTCCCGTTAGAGGGCTCAGTTTATATTTGTTTCTTTTTGGTAGCTAAGATCCTCTGCCTGAGGCTATGTTGCTAAACCACTGTCCACACAGAACATGCTTCAAGGTTGCGTAGGTCAGTGCCCTGTTTTTGGGAGCACAAAGGCTAACAGTGTGGTTTTCTTAAATAATTGTAATAGAGATGTTACCGTTACTTTTCTTGTAAAACAGTTCTGACCTCTCAGCTCCTGAGCTCTTCACAGAATCTTTCTCACCAGATAGGGTTGTTGGGGTAGATTTCCCCAGAGTTCCAAGTTCCAGCTGTGCCTTTTAGGGGACTTTTATGTTGGACACTTCTCCCTGAATTATTCCCCTTTCATATTCCAAGACATTTTCCCAAAACCCAGCTTCTAGGCCTGGGAAAGAACCTCTCAAAGGAGATATTCCTTTTTTAATATGTTGATGATTAAGAGTGGCTGCCCAGGCCTGGGTTCCTAGTGGCAGAACAGGATCTGAATTAAAAAAAGCATAACTCATCTGCTTTCAGCAGACTATCACAGAGAGGATGCAGGTGGTCAGTCCCTGGCTGCCTTTGTCTTTGGGCCGGGTCAGGGTTAGGATTTGACTTTGCTGCTGGCAGCTCCGTGGGTGTTGGGCCAGAGTAGCTTGCTTTGAAGTACACTCAACTGTGATTATTGATTGCCCCTAAGCGTAGGAATCAGGGGACTTAGTTGCCATTGAAGTTGGGTGGATCTCAAGTCTTGCCAATCCTTGAATTTCTACAATAAATTTGGATGTTTTGGAAGCAAATTCACGTGGTTATGACTGATTTCTCCAAGGAAACCCCCCTTTTTACCCCAACAGGAGCTTGCATCTGTAGACCAAGGCTCTAATCTCCCCTGCACCACCAGACTGTACCCCACCACATCCCTCACCCCTGTTTCAAGGTTACTTTCCCATTTGAGGTTTGGAGTTCAGTGAGCTCAAAATACCTTCACATTTTATATATCCTTGCACCCGCTTTGAAAACAGGACAATGGGATCTGTGTGTTCTGTGTTTTAAAATTAATGTGAAAATAAAGAATTTGCCATGTGTTACATCTCTTTTGTCTGTCTTTTGTTTGTTTGACCACCAGAGGCAGGAACACGCCTGCCTATCCTGGTAGATTTCTCTATTGCTTGAGTACTATGTCTGAGCTACACTGCATGGTCCCTGGATCTGAAGTGAACATCTTTAGCTGGCAATTCTATTTGACTGTTGGCTAATGGGAAGCAGCGTATTTGTCTCTTAAGAACCCCCCATACTGATCATTTGTCTGTTTACTCGTAGATCTTGGAGTCTGGATCCTGCAAACTACATTTCCCAGACTGCTGACTTCCAGTTAGTTTCTTTGAATGTGCAGTACTGGCAGGAGTCTGGAAAATGGAAGGAACAGAGACGAGAAGAGTTTTTTATTTTGTGTAGTCTTTGGCAGCACTTCTGGCAGTGGTGGCAGCAGTGAGCAAGTGTAGGATCCTGGGTTCCTGCTCAGGCAAGCACATTTCCAGCTGCTTGCCTCAGTTTCTTTGTTCTGTTTGAGTTCAGGAATTTCTGTTGTTATGAGTCATGGTGTTCTGGGATTAGGCTGGAAAGGCTGAAAATATTGTCCAGCTTAACAGCAAATTGAGTATGCCAGATTCCAAGACGGCTGAATCTATAGGTGTAAGCTTGCTACTGTAATGGAGCCTAGTGCTCCAAGGGAAATGACATTGGTCCTGTGGTAGATTTGGTATACCCCAAATTACTAAGAAACCCAACACTATTGTTTTTATCTCCCTCAGTGTTCTTCCTTTTGTTTCCCGTCTCAGTGTTTGGCTGTAAGTGAAATTCTGAAAATAGATGTTTCTGGGTCCTTGTTTTTTAATTATTCAACTTCTGTTTGTTACTAACAGTCTCTGCTGTTTATTTATCCCTTGGTAGTTTACAAAACCCCTTCCTATGTATTAATCCTTATACAAAGTTGTGGAGTAGGTATTGTTATTCCATTTTTACAGGAGAAGAAACAGGTTAAAAATCCTAATGAAAAATGACATTTAGATGGTATTTAACATTTTCATATCCTGGTCTTTCCATTCTTTACTTTCCATTACAGCTAAGCAGGAAAGCTTACTTACTGACAGCTAAGTTGGGGAACCAGGGTGAAAACTCCCTTTCACTCCTTTAATCCTCTGACTCTAGGACAGCATAGGCTGATTTCCCACAGATTACTTCTGTTTAAAATAAAAACAAAGCAGACAATCCTGGACATTACTGATACACTTTATACTCTTCCAATACCTCACCTGTCATGGGTTCTTGGGTGCTGAGACTGGAACACCACTTTCCAGTGAGAAAAAAGGTTCATAGAAGAGTCCATGACACATGGGCTAGAATCATCCAGCTCAGTGCTCATCACAGAGGTCAACTGAAGAGGGGAAGAAGGTGGTAGAGCTGCTCTGACTTGCTCTTGCAGGGTAGAGGGCTGTGAACAAAGAACCTGCTGTTGAGTTGTGGTTTGAGGAATGCCATGAACCCTCTCTTGCACCTAAGGAGTGATAATAAGTTTATTGAATTATGGACGTGAAGCAAAAGGGCTTACTCAGACACTGGACAGGGGCCATATTAACAGTACAGAACTGGATTTGGATTAAAGGAAGTGTTGGACATTGAGGAGAAGAAGGAAGTTCAGAACATGATTTAACAGATGTCTGGATAAAAAAGACCTGGAGGTTTTGCTACCTAAACTGAGCTCTGTGCAAGCTGCTGACAGTTGGATGGGCTGTTGGTTAACAAAAGTTATAGGTGGGAGCTTGACAGACCATTTGCCCTGGAATAAGGGAGAAGATTTCTGCCCTGAATAAAAGGTTGTATTATGCCTTCAAAGTCTTTGCAACTCTGAGGTCTGTGTCATGCCCATAGCCCCCACCGTGTGTTTAAAACACCACCATGAGGTTAAAGCAGTGCTTCCAGAAGGGCACTGTTAAATTCTCAGGTTTGAGCTCTGGTGGTGCTGTTGGTTGAAGGTGTGGATGTAGTCCTTTCTCTTAACGTAGTGTGGGACAGCGATTGTTAGATTAGCTAGCTGTTGCCTAAGGGAACAGATGGGAAGGAGTGAGGGCCTTACATAAGAAGCGGTGATACAGTGAGGGAAAGGTAAGTTGAGACCTCACTGTTTGAGAGGAATCACTATGGAATCTAATCCCTGTGTGGTCTTGACACGTGACTTGTACCCCAGTGGAAGCTCTAAGGTTGGCCATGACTCTATTTCCTCTCGTGAAGGGATGGTATCCTTACCGATGAGGTGGAATGAGTGACAGTAGTTTGAATCCCTAGCCAAACAATAAGTGAATCACTTGGCAGGTGAGTGAAAGGAAACAAATACATTATCAGATGTTAACATTTCTTTCCCTGATTAAAACCCAAAAGGCATGAAATTCCTTTAGGGTAGGGACCATGAACTGAGCTACTTGGTAAATTGTCGTAACTGGAAGTAGGACAACCAAACCCGGGACCCAACTCTGCCTACAGATATCCCTCTTTCTGGGTCTTAAGATTCTTGGACTAGACAGTTGCAGGTTTCTGTGAGACAGACAAGTTTAGGTCCTTTAGCTGGATAACTTGGGACTGCTTAGAAGTATGTTATCCCATCTTTCATCCCTTAAGTCTTATTAAGTCACTAATGTCCTTCTGGCTCAGTAGTCCATATAGAATTTTTTTTTTCCTTCTAAAAATTAAAAAATAATCAAAATTGTTTATTTTAGATTGACATTTACTAGTAGCTGACATTTACTGAAGGTTTATTATGTGCCTAATGCTGTTGTGTGCCGTTGAGTCAATTCCAACTCATAGCAACTCTATATGACAGGGTAGTACTGCCCATTAGGGTTTTCTAGGCTGTAATCACCAGGTCTTTTCTCTCATGGAGCGGCTGGTTGGTTTGAACCACTGACCTTTTAGCTCGCTTACGAGTACTTAACCATTGCACCACCAGAGCTCCTTTCTAATGTTGTAGTGCACCTTTTATATGAAAGGGACTCAGATTAAAGAACTTTCCCAGGTATGAATCCTATGAAAGTGCGCCTCTCAGATATCTGACTGTGCGGAGCATAATTGACTGCTGTTCCAGCGGCTGAGCTGTGAAGCCATATACTGCATCCTTGCCAAAGCCACACTTTCCAAGGGTTGCTCCTAGCCAGTGACTGAACATGACAAGGATACTAAGGCAGACTTATTCCTGCAAGACGTTGAATTCTGACTAACCCACCAGGATAACACAGCAGGCAAATGGTAGAGTAGATCACGGAACCCAGGTAGTCTAGGCGGGTTCTTCTAAGCACAATGCCACCCCAGGGCAGGTAATACATAGGTTCTTAGAAAATAATGGCTGAATAAATGAGTGACTATAAAAATGATAGGTTGACAAGGGGTTAATTTTCCCAGAGGAAGTTTCGGAAGGGTTGAGACTTTTGAGAATGGCATTAAAGGATAAGAAAAATTTAGGATGAAAGTGTTAGAACTTCATGGGCCAATGTTGCTTCTATTTGATCTTGAAATCAAGACCGGCAGGGACTAGTTCTGGGTTAGCTGTTGGGGAAAGCATATCCCTGATTACCATAAGCAGAAATTTAAACAAATTTTTTCCAAGCGATTCAGCTGCACAGTCAAGTTTGTGAAAGTATTCCTATACTTTGAAGGCTGCATTGTCCTCAAATGGGAAGGATTATAAGAAGTGAGATGAGAAAAAGTGCTCTGCCCAATCACTTCTTTTCACCTTGCTTGCCTAGATAGTGGTGAGGAGGGCTGCTGGAGGGCTACCGAAAGGCCTTTCAGCCACATAGCAATAGGAGGAGGCAGCTTGACCAATTCAGTAAGTCTTCATTGATTGCCCCTTGTTGTGTCCAGCGAACATCATGCTGAGCGCTGTGGGGGAATGAGTAGTTGAAAGCCCTACCTGTGCTAGCTCTTGTTTGGGAATTATATCATACCCCTGCTGAAAACCCTCTAAAGGCTTCCCATTACATTTAGGTTTGGCTTAGACCTAACTGCAGCTGTTTTCTATTTATTCCATCAGTTCTTTATTACTTTATTTCCCCCTCTCCCTTTTGCCTTTTGGATTAACCAAGTGCCTTTTATTCCAGTTTTTTCTCTTTTATTAGCTTTTCACTTCTACATTCTTGTATTATTCTTTTAGTATTTGCTCTAGACTCTAGGGCCTAGAGTTACAATATGCATCCTTGATCATATGCTGTGGGAGTCATATGTTTTACATGTGTTGTAAATCTCTTATTGTTATTTAAAAGTTAGTATTAAAAGGTCCAATATTTACTCTTTCCATTGCTGTTTATTCCTTCCTGCAGTCCTGTGCTTCCATTTGGGATAATTTTCTTCAGCTTGAGGTTGTGCAGGTCTGCTAGCAGTGAATGATCTCAGCTTTTATTTGTCTGAAAATATCTTTATTTTACCTTTTTTTATGGATCCAATTGAATGTTTAAATTTTTTTTATTGAAATAAAATTCACCATCTTAACCATTTTTAAGTGTAAAATTTAGTGGCTTTTAGTATATTCACAATGTTGAGCAAACGTCATCACTAATTCCAGAATATTTTCACCACTCCAAAAAGAAACTCTATACCTCCCAATTCTCCCCTCTCCCTGCACCTGGCAAATATTAATTTACTTTCTGTCTTTTGCCTATTTTGGATATTTCATATAAATGGAATCATACAGTATGGGGCTTTTTTTGGTCTTGTTTCTTTCACTTAGCATAATGTTTTCAAGGCTCATCCATGTAGCATGTATCAGTACTTCATTCCTTTAAATGGCTAAATAATACTTCATTGTATGGATATACCACATTCTGTTTATCCATTCATCGGTTAATGGACATTTGAGTTGTTTCTACTACTTGACTATTCTGAATTATGCTGCTGTGAACATTTGTGTGCAAGTTTTTGTGTGAACATATTTTCAGTTTTCCTGAGTATACACTGAGGAGTGGAATTGCTGTGTCATATGGTTACTCCGTGTTTAACTTTTTGAGAAACTGCCAAACTGTTTTCCACAAGGTCTACACCATTTTATGCCTTCACCAGCTGTGTATGAGGTTTCCAGTTTCTCCACATTTTTGCCAACATGTGTTACCTGTTTTGTTTTGTTTTTTAGTCATCCTAATGGGTGTGAAAGGAGCCCTGGTGGCACAATGGTTAAGTGCTTGGCTGCTAACTAAAAGGTCAGTGGTTCAAACCCACCAGCTGCTCTGCAGGAGAAAAATGTGGCAGTCTGCTTCCATAAAAATTTACATCCTTAGAAAAGTGGTATCTTATGGTGGTTATGATTTGCATTTCCCTGATTGAATTGTGTCCCCCCCAAAAATGTGTGTCAACTACATATAAAGATAATGCTCTACATTCTACCCTGGTGAGTAGTGTCTGGGGTCTTAAAAGCCTGTGAGCGGCCATCTAAGATACTCCACTGGTCTCATCTCTTCGGGAGCAAGTGAGAATGAAGAGAACAG